TAGCCCCAGTCCCTCAGCCCGCCTCAGGCCCAGCCCAGCCAGCAACTCGCCACCCAGCCTCAGGCCCAAGTGTGTATGAAACAGGCCTTGCCCATCCAGCAACCCGCCCAAGCACAGCTCAGCCCAGCCCGCCCAGCCCAAATTCCAGGCGTAGTCCGGCTGCCCGGCAGCCACTTGTGGCTGAGACTAGCTTCAGGCCCAGCCTGACCAGAGCTGCTTGGGCCAGCCGGACTGAGGGGCTGGGGCACGTCAGACAGGCTTAGTAGCTGGCATAGCTTGAGAGCAGTGTGTGAGAGGTCGTTGGCCTGAGGCCAGTCTCAGACACGTTAGACAAACCTGACCTTGCCCAAGTCATCCAGCAGGCCCAGCCCCTTCGGCGCAGTCTGAGACTGGTCTCAGTATGCCAGCCTGAGACGAGCCTCAGGCCCAGTCCGCTGGCGTGTCTTACGTGTCTGTGACTGGCCTCGGGCCCAGCCCAGCCAGCAACTCGCCACCCAGCCTCAGGCCCAAGTGTGTATGAAACACGCCCAAGCACAGCTCAGCCCAGCCCGCCCAGCCCAAGTTCCAGGCGCAACCAGCAGCGTAGCCCGGCTGCCCGGCAGCCAGCAACCCACCCATAGCTTCGCAGCCTACTAGCTTCAGGCCCAGCCCAACCAGCAACCCACCTCAGCCCAGCCTGCCCAGCCCAGGCATGCCACTAGGCCGGCCAGCGCACCAGCAGGCTTGTCTGAGACTGGCTGAGACCAACAACCAGTCCCACGTGTCTGAGACTGGTCTCAAGCTACGCCAGCTACTAAGCCTGTCTGACGTGCCCCAGCCCCCCAGTCCGGCTGCCCAAGCAGCTCAGCCCAGGCTGACAGTCTTGGTTTTGGATTTCAAGCCTTCCGAGCAGGACGGCTTCCGAACATCGAACTAGCACGGGCGAACTGGTGCGGTCACAAGCTTTCAGTAGGATTCGGACCTTCCCAACACTGGATTTCGGTGTTCCTGACCCTTCCCTCAAACTAGGCTGGGCCGAGGCGGGCAACGCGAAGCGTTTACAATTAACTCATTCGGTTTGGATAAGTTTGTGTTGCAGCAGCTAAAAAGATCAACATCAATCAGTAAAGGTTCAAGTGTATAGACAACATCCTATTCAGTCTCAAGTGTGGGTTGTGTTGCAAGTCTGGGTTGTGAGAACATCGCGCGTGCTGTCATCTGCGCCAGCTTGCACGCAGCGGTCGCGGATGCTCGTGGGCCTGCGCAGGAAGGGTTTGTCTTTGTCCTTGTCTTAGTGATGGTTATCCTCACCACTGATGTTGGGTGATGGTTCACAGCATCCGGATCATCATCATTACTGCGGCGCTCTTCTTTTTTCATATGCGATTCAAGTGCGCAGGTAGACCCGACTGGAATTGCAGGGTCGTTGTCATGAGTTCGCGATAACTGCTGCTGATGCTGGTGACGTGAACTTCTGGTGATGCTGATGCCGTAGTGATGATGATGATGATGAACATGATGATGAAAACGATGATGATGGTGAACATAATAATGAAAATGGTGGTGATGATGATGGTGATGATGAACAAAAGGATGAAAAAGACGATGATGATGAACATGATGCATCATCATCTTCATGTTCATCATCATCGTCATCATCATCAGTTCCATCATCATTTTCATCATTCATCATCATCATCACATCATCATCACATCATCATTTTCATCATCGTGTTCCTCATCATGTTCATCATCAAAACCGGCGCTTTTCTTTTTCATGGCGATGCTGAGGATGCGTAGCGATGATTATCATCAGGATGATGATGATTGTAATAATGAACATGATGCGTAACATAATGATGAAAATGATGATGATCATGATGATGATCATGATGATGGACATGATGAGGAACATGATGAGGAACATCATTATGAACATGGTGATGCTGATGATGAACATGGTGAAAAAACATGATGAATGATGGTTATGATGATGATAATGAACATGATGATGATAAACATGATGATGAAAGTGATGATGGTGGTGTTCATCATCATCATCATCATTTTCATCATCATGTTCACCTTCATCATCATCATGTTCATCATCCTCATCATCATGTTCCTCAAACTGTGGCGCTCTTCTTTTTCATATACCCCGTTAGACCCGACTGGAAATGCTGAGGATGCGACGTCATGATTGTCATGATAAACGTTGCTGATGCTGGGGACGCACAGTGTTGACGTTAACTGCTGGTGATGCTGAGGATGCGTAGTGATGATTATCATCAGGATGATGATGATTATCATCAGGATGATGATGATGATCATCATGATTAGATGATGAAAGTGATGATGGTGGTGTTCATCATCATCATCGTCATTGTCATGTTCATCATCATCACCAAAATTTTCATGATCATGTTCATCATCATCTTCATCATCTTCATCATCATGTTCATGTTCATCATCATCATGTTCATCATCATCATCATCTTCATCATCTTCAGCATCATGTTCATCATCAGCATCGTGTTCATCATCATCATCATCATCATCAGTTGCATCATCGGAGGGATTTAAGCGAGGCTCATTTTCGCGCATTTTGGCGCCAAGCGCTGCCGGGCATGCCGGCGATGCTGGGTCCTCGCTCTACAAAACGCTGTAAATACCGTCAAAAACTGCTGTGCTGAGCGGTGGGCTGTTGTTCTGTCCGTTTTGCTTTTGCTGTGGCTGGCTCGCATGCTGCGCTGTCCTTGCTTGTTTCCCGTTGGTTTTCGGGCCTTCTGGCGCGAGCGCGCGCGACCCCAGCCACAAATTGCTGCTATGTACAGTGTTTTGTTGCATTTGCGTTTCCGGGCTGGCTTGCGGGCTGCTCTTTTTGGGCTGCTCTTTCTGGGGCCTCTTGCGCGCGCGCGCGACCCCATGTCAGCCTTCTGGGTTGGGGCCCGGCTGGGGCCCAGAAAGCTGGCATCCCCGGCATCATCTGGGGTTGGGGTGGGCAACACGCATAACCTAACCAGCCATATCATAGCGCAGGATACGTTGCTCATACAAAAACATGACATGACATGGTATAACTTCAAAGAGGCGTAGCCGGCTAGAGGCCGCAGGCCCAGAAATTACCGTTGTCATTTGTGCCAGCATGCATGTGCATGCAGCGGTCGTGGATGCGCGTGGGCCTGTGTATTCACACTTGTGCCAGCATGCGTACCGCGGTCGTGGATGCGCGTGGGCGTGTGTGTTGCACCACTTGTGCCAGCGTGCGTGCAGCGGTCGTGGATGCGCAGGGGCGTGTGCAATACCACTTGCGCAGCTTAGCCTTAGCGGTACCAGCAACAAACAAACAAACTAACAAACAAACAGAACAAAACAAAACAAACAATCAAACAAACAAACAGACAAACAGACAAACAATCACAAACAGAAGCAAGCAAACAAACAAACAAACAAACAAACAAACAAACAAACAAACAAACAAACGAACGAACGAACGAACGAACAAACAAACAAACAGACAGACAGACAAACAATCACACAAACAAGCAAACAAACAAACAAACAAACAAACAAACAAACAAACAAACAAACAGACAGACAGACAGACAGACAGACAGACAGACAGACAGACAAACAATCACACAAACAAGCAAACAAACAAACAGACAGACAGACAGACAGACAGACAGACAGACAGACAGACAGACAGACAAACAATCACACAAACAAGCAAACAAACAAACAAACCAACAAACAAACAAACAAACAAACAAACAAACAAACTCAAACGAAAACACGAATGGACACTCAAAGAAGCTCAAGCAGAAGCAAAGCTGCGGAAGCCTCAGAGAATCTCGGCGCCTCGGAGCTGGCTCAGGCGGCTCAGGCGGCTCAGGCGGCTCAGGCGGCTCGGCTGCAAGTCGCTGGCCCCTGCGGCTTTGCCCGTTAGGATTTGCGTGCGCCTTCTTTTGAAGGAGTATACTTCCTTTTTTGTTTTAAAGGGAAACCAATAGGAAAACCACCATTCTGGCGGCTCCCTAAAACATGCCAGACCCAGTTGTGTAGAGGTGATGATGAAGAATGAGCCACCGAAACTTGTTCTTTTGGTGTCGCGAACATCCCAAATAGGGCTTCCTGATTTGAGACCATTTCTCAGTTTTGGCAGGCGTGACTTGGCGAAAATGGCAATTCTCAGTGCCAAACTTGTACACGAAACACACTTCTGCAGCCCCAGCTCGAAAGTCGCAACTTTTCAGTACGGAATTAGTACACCAAAGTTAACCTTAGTCCCTAGCTTGAAAGTCGCAACTTTTCAGCTCCGAAGTCCTCGAAACCCGCGCAGCGCAGGCGGGGGGCCCGATGGCACGGAGGTCCATCGACTGTCGCGAAACTTTCGCTGCGAAAAATGGTCGAACATCCGGCTGAAACAATTCAGCGCTCTGGACCTGAAAGCTTCAAAACTCCAACAAGCTGCTCTCTGGGGTTTGACGTACGCTTTCCTCCAACTGATTCTGCCCGTGTCGGCAAGCACACATGGTTCACTCCATCTTCCGTGTATCAGTGTATGCCCCGACAAACAAGCTTCGCGACCTCCATCGCGAAAGCTCCAACGCGAAGCTTTTGCGGCGGGCAACGCCAAGACCAACAGGTCTTCCCCTTCATAGCTCAACCTAAGAACCTTGTCCCAAGTGGGGAAACAGGCACAAGAGGGTGTAGAAAGGGGACCCAAGGGGCTAACTGGTCAATGCCATTGACAAATGACAACAGCACAGGCAAAGACAAGTGGATATATAATATATATGCTTCTACTGGTGAATACCAACACATACCCAGCGATTTCCCAGTGTCTCGTGCCGTTGCTCGCTCAAATGGCATCCAACAAGAGCGAACGATCTACAAATCTTACAATCAATGATTTCAAAACCTGAAGCATCCGGATGAGCTCGCCATGGGCAGAACGGTTCAAGCAAAGCCCTGAACATATTTTGGGCTACCCGGCTATCCTTGGAAGCGCCAGATCTTCACGACTGATCACGCCCTTTGGTCCTGGCGCGCGGCAAAAAGATGCGCGATGGCCACACCTCCAGTCGCTCGCTAGAAAGAGCAGGGAACTAGGCTGCGTCCACCCCTCCCGCACTACCATCCCTGCAGCCCCGGTGCGTTAAAGGTTGTCCGATCGCCCCGACCATCCTGACCATCCTGACCATCCAGACTCGACCCACCTAACCTAAACTAAACAAACCCTAAACAACCCATAGCCCCAAATCAACCCTAAAACGACCCTAAACCCACGGAGGTATCCCACTACTCTCCCAGCCGCAATGCCCAGACCACCCCAACCAGGATTGCCTCCGCAAACTGTCTGCAGTTCCCTTTTTGGATTGAGTTTCCCCAAAAGATCATCGGAACAAACTGGTTGGTCTCCTTTTGAGTTTTTCGTCTAACCAAGAGGTGGTCCATTTTCGAGAAACTCTCATTGCGGGCGCTCCTCCAGCTCAATTCCCGTGGTCGAGACTCTTTCTGGGGCGAGGCCTCGGCTCTGACCACCTCCAGTGCGTGGAGGGAGCGGTTGATCTCCTCCAACCTCAAGAGGTAGACAACTTGGCTGCCATTGCCATGTCAAAAATACCAAAAGCTACAAAGATCCTCCCAAAACAAGAGCGCCACCAAGCGCTTCCCACGTCAAGCGGAGCAAAGGTCGCCAAGCCACAGCTGCTGCGCGGGGTCCTCTTTGCGGGACACAGGCAGCGCGTACAACGCCCGTTGGGGCGAGGCCGTCGCCGGGTTCGTGGGCGTCAGCACGTGGCGCGCACTCTGCAGACGCAGCAACCTGGTTTGTTCACAGGGCCCTCTGAACCGGTTCACCCTGAAGGTGATTCAAGAGGGTGCCTCAGTCATGGGAGAAGTGTCGGAGCGCTAAAGACTCATCACCTCACACAAGCCAGGTACAGACCAGTCATGACAGGGTCATTTTGGTCATGTTGAACATGACCTCTACCAGCTGCTTAGTGGAGACAGGTGATTTCGGGATGTCATCGCTGTGGATGGACATGATACCTGAACCATTTTTCGGATCGGCTTCGCCACCTCTCAAGGTTTCGCTTTTGGAAGGGTTAGGTGGTTGGGAAGGCTGCCTCCCCCAACGCAAACATGGATACTGACAGGAGGGTTTCCCTATTAGGTGGTCTTTTGGAGAAACAATACCCTAAAAACAATTTTCTGAAACCGGACCACCGCCAAGAAACCCTCTGGCAGTTCCATGTCTGTGAGGCCTCCGACTCCTGAGACATGCGATGCAAATGGATGGTTACATCGCCCAGAAAGGCACCAAGATATTGAAGTGGTTCCCATTCATAGGGCTTCCTGTACTGGAGTAGATTCAACTCGGTCCGTCTAGTGGTGTCCCTTCCCATGGATTTTTTTTTTTTCTCGTCTGTGGCTCTTCCATGGGATGCAGAGTGATGCGGGAGGCTGATTCCACAGCCTCCATTGGACTGATCTATTTAGCAGATGTTGTATTTGTTATTTGTTGCGTCCCTGATGGGTGCTTGTGGCGTCGCTAGCACTTGTGACTCAGGACATCAGCACTTGTGGGCGGAAGCTAGTTCACTTGCAGTACCATGGATGGACGAAATGGATGAGATTGCTGGGGCAAAGCGTGCCTGGCATGGATTTGGCCCATCAGTAGTTGGGTTTTGGTTCATTGAGCGGGAACCAAACGCAAACTCCAACCATCTTTGGGGGGGCTCCCGTATTGCGAGAAAAACCAACAAACAGACGCGCCCAGTTGCGGCACCCGAGATCTTGCGGCAGGCAACTTGGCGCCCGCCCTCGCCAAGTCCTTGGCTGCCGCGTGAATCCGCCGCTCTCGGTCCGCCAGATCCGCGCCTCAAGGGCCGAAGCGGGTCGCCACTTGGGCGCGGCGTTTGGGGACCTGCCAAAAATGCGGTTTCCTTTCGGTTTCCCTTTAAAACCACCAAACAAAGGGTACCCTCAAAAGCAGACGCGCCCATGTGTTTCCAAGAGGTCTGAGGGGCTAAGGCGAAGGCAAGCCACGTAACTTAGCGCCTTGGCCTTCCAGCTACCTAATGCCATGCGGAAGGAAGGTCTCGTTCTGGCCCTTGAAGCTATGTGGAAACACGCGGACATGCACCCACCCTCTGCCTTGGAAACCGGCTCACGCATTTCGACGCCGACTCACTCACTCTAATAAACACAAGACTTCAGGGCACACTAAAGCACGGTATATACCTCAAAGCCAGCTTATAAAAAAAAGAAAAAGCGGACTGGCTGAGGCCGCTCAACACCAAGCGTTTACAATTAAACGGGTATTAAACCGGGGTCACCATTACCAACCTCAACATATTCAAAACACAGCGCAAATAATGGGGGGGTCTTGTTGTTCAGGGTACCCTTTTTGGGCTTGTCAAACAAAACAAAACGTTCCGTGATTCTGACACAAACCCAAAGTGTCTTGAAACATAGGGGACCCCCAAATGCCTTTCTTCTTAAGAACTCCCTTTGGTTTCCCTTCTACCAAACCCCAAACAAGATACCCGCAAAAAGACAGACCACGGGGCTGGTGACCGAACTGGGTGCCGCTTCGACCCGTGCCTTGGGCTGCCAAGCTGCGCTCCAACAGCTGCTGCCGGCTTCGCGCCCCCGACAGCTCCGCCCTCAAGTCCCTCAACTCCGCTTCCTGGGACACAGGCAAGGCATCAGAAGGACATGTGTCTCTGGGTTCTTTTTTGGAGGGATACTCCGGGCTTTTTCGGCAGAATAACAAAGTGTCCGTTTTCTGTTGGGTACGCATGTGAGGTGATTTGCTGATTTGCAGGGGAGACCAAAATTTAGGGCCGGGTGGGGTTGTGCACTTGTGACACCCAGAAAGGGGTTCCCCCAAAAGCAGGTTCCTCCAAAACCGCAGATTTGTTTGGCTCCATGTTAATCTGCAGAGTTGTTAGGATCCTGAAGGCTGCAATCGGGACCCTTCAGAAGCAAAGACACCTGCAGCATCAATGCCTGTGGAAACATTGAAGGCGGCATCGCGCGGATGCATGGCGTGAACCAGCTAGCCTGGCAAGCCCGCTTCATGCCAAGCCACTCGCAAAGCTGCGGTCGTCTGCTCCTGAATGGGTTCGAAAGCCAACTGCGAAGCTGCAGTGAGTGGCTTCTGAAAGAGGTCAGCAACATCGTTGCATTCCGCAGCCAGTGGCTGTGGAAAGCGTTCACGGCCCTCCCTCACATCCACAACAGCCTTTGACGGCTGCAAGCATGCTTGAGAATCTTGCGAAGCCATAGTCGCCGGCAGCCGAAGACGTTCGGCCTCTCGTGAAGACGCTGTCATTGGCTCTTGGATGGCTTCAGAAGCCTCCCTCGAAGCGGCGGGAGCTGGCTTCTGAAATAGGTCGTGAGCATCGTTTGATGCCGCAGCCACTGGCGGCTGAAAGCGCTCGTTACCTCCCCGCACATCCACAGCGGCCTTTGTCTGCTGAAAGTATTCCCGAGTATGCTGAGAAGCTGCAGTTGCTGGCATCTGAAACCGTTCGACCTCTTGGAAAGGAGCTGTCATTCGCTCCTGAAAGGTTTCAGAAGCCTCCTGCGAAGCATTATCTGGTTTCTGAAAAAGGGCGCGGCCATCATTGGAAGCTGCAGCCATTGAATGCTGAAAGCGTTCCCGCGCATCTTGCGAAACCATAGTCGCCGGCAGCTGATTTTGTTCGGCCTCTCGTGAAGATGCTGTCATTGGCTCTTGGATGGCTTCAGAAGCCTCCCTCGAAGCGGCGGGAGCTGGCTTCTGAAATAGGCCGTGAGCATCGTTTGATGCCGCAGCCACTGGTGGCTGAAAGCGCTCGTTACCTCCCCGCACATCCACAGCGGCCTTTGTCTGCTGAAAGTATTCCCGAGTATGCTGAGAAGCTGCAGTTGCTGGCATCTGAAACCGTTCGGCCTCTTGGAAAGATGCTGTCATTCGCTCCTGAAAGGTTTCAGAAGCCTCCTGCGAAGCAGTATCTGGTTTCTGAAAAAGGGCGCGGCCATCATTGGAAGCTGCAGCCATTGAATGCTGAAAGCGTTCCCGCGCATCTTGCGAAACCATGGTCGCCGGCAGCTGATTCCGTTCAGCATCTCGTGAAGACGCTGTCATTGGCTCTTGGATGGCTTCAGAAGCCTCCCTCGAAGCGGCGGGAGCTGGCTTCTGAAATAGGTCGTGAGAATCGTTTGATGCCGCAGCCACTAGCGGCTGAAAGCGCTCGCTACCTCCCCGCACATCCACAGCGGCCTTTGTCTGCTGAAAGTATTCCCGAGTATGCTGAGAAGCTGCAGTTGCTGGCATCTGAAACCGTTCGGCCTCTTGGAAAGATGCTGTCATTCGCTCCTGAAAGGTTTCAGAAGCCTCCTGCGAAGCAGTATCTGGTTTCTGAAAAAGGGCACGGCCATCATTGGAAGCTGCAGCCATTGAATGCTGAAAGCGTTCCCGCGCATCTTGCGAAACCATAGTCGCCGGCAGCTGATTTCGTTCGGCATCTCGTGAAGACGCTGTCATCACGGCAGGAGCTGGCTTCTGAAATAGGTCGTGAGCATCGTTTGATGCCGCAGCCACTGGCGGCTGAAAGCGCTCGCTACCTCCCCGCACATCCACAGCGGCCTTTGTCTGCTGAAAGTACTCCCGACTATGCTGAGAAGCTGCAGTTGCTGGCATCTGAAACCGTTCGGCCTCTCGCGAAGACGCTGTCATTGGCTCTTGAAAGAGTTCGCGGCGGCAATCCAGCAATGAGCTCTCTCCCACGTCGCCTCGCATGCCGTGTTACTGATGTTATGATGGCCATTCCGAGGTCCCTGCACCACCATGTTGCTTCACATCCAAAGGAACAATTCCTAAAACAGGCATGAGGGGTAATTGCTTGACATAAACGGAAAACACCGGTTCAACTTCAACCAGCCAATGCGAAGCCATGCACGCCGTGCAATGTCTCACTGGCGCCTCTAACCCACCATACGTAATTCAGGAGGGTGCCTCATTCACGGGATAAGTGTCGAAGCCCCAAAAACGAATCACTACTCGAGCAGCAACAGAACACTTCTGCCAAAACCACCTCGCCAAAATGTGGTGCATCAACCTCGCATGCAGAAACGCCAGCCATGCCACAAATGACACAAGTGCCGAGAATGTTCTGAGTCACAAGCGCCAACGACGCCGCCAGTGCCAATGAATGACACAACAAATAAAACATCTGCAAAACAAGCTGGCCCTGCTGGCCCTGTCCGGTGATCAGTCCAATGGCGATGTCTCACTGGCTGTGGAATCAGCCCTCTGAACCACCGGTTCACCCCGAAGGTGATTCAAGAGGGTGCCTCAGTCATGGAAAAGTGTCGGAGCGCCAAAGACTCATCACTTCACTCGAGCCGGCCACAGCCCACCTTTGCCCTAGCAAGCTCTCTTATACAACAGTATTGCAGATATCCTCACATGCAGATCAAAACATGTAGTGTGCCGACGCCAACTGTGCTAACAACGCCACAAGTGACGTTAAATGAGTCTCAAGTGCCATCGCCACAAGTGCCAACCACGCCACAAGTGCCAATGAAGGACACAACAAATACAACATCAGCAAAACAAGCTGGCCCTGCTGGCCCTGTCCGGTGATCAGTCCAATGGCGATGTCTCACTGGCTGTGGAATCAGCCCTCTGAACCACCGGTTCACCCCGAAGGTGATTCAAGAGGGTGCCTCAGTCATGGAAAAGTGTCGGAGCGCCAAAGACTCATCACTTCACTCGAGCCGGCTGCAGCCCACCTTTGTCCTAGCAAGCTCTCTTGTAAAAAACTGTGTTGCAAATAACATCACATGCAGACTAAAACATGTAGTTTGCCGACGCCAACTGACACCAACAACGCCACAAGTGCCCAGAATGTCATGAGTTTCAAGTGCCAACGACGGTGTAAGTGCCAATGAATGACACAACAAATGCAACATCTGCAACAAACAAGCTGGCCCTGCTGGCCCTGTCCGGTGATCAGTCCAATGGCGATGTCTCACTGGCTGTGGAATCAGCCCTCTGAACCACCGGTTCACCCCGAAGGTGATTCAAGAGGGTGCCTCAGTCATGGAAAAGTGTCGGAGCGCCAAAGACTCATCACTTCACTCGAGCCGGCTACAGCCCACCTTTCCCCTAACAAGCTCTCCTATATAAACATGAGTTGCAAACAACCTCACATGCAGACTAAAACATGTAGTTTGCCAACGCCAACTGTGCCAACAACGCCACAAGTGCCAAGAATGTCATGAGTCTCAAGTGCCAACGACGCCACAAGTGCCAATGAATGACACAACAAATACAGCATCTGCAAAACAAGCTGGCCCTGCTGGCCCTGTCCGGTGATCAGTCCAATGGCGATGTCTCACTGGCTGTGGAATCAGCCCTCTGAACCACCGGTTCACCCCGAAGGTGATTCAAGAGGGTGCCTCAGTCATGGAAAAGTGTCGGAGCGCCAAAGACTCATCACTTCACTTGAGCCGGCCACAGCCCACCTTTGCCTAGCAAGCTCTCTTATACAGAAGTGTCTTGCAAATAACCTGACATGCAGACCGAAACATGTAGTTTGCTGACACCAACTGACACCAACAACGCCACAAGAGCCAAGAATGTCACGAGTCTCAAGTGCCAACGACGGTGTAAGTGCCAATGAATGACACAACAAATGCAACATCTGCAAAACAAACTGGCCCTGCTGGCCCTGTCCGGTGATCAGTCCAATGGCGATGTCTCACTGGCTGTGGAATCAGCCCTCTGAACCACCGGTTCACCCCGAAGGTGATTCAAGAGGGTGCCTCAGTCATGGAAAAGTGTCGGAGCGCCAAAGACTCATCACTTCACTCGAGCCGGCTACAGCCCACCTTTGTCCTAGCAAGCTCTCTTGTAAAAAACTGTGTTGCAAATAACATCACATGCAGACTAAAACATGTAGTTTGCCGACGCCAACTGACACCAACAACGCCACAAGTGCCCAGAATGTCATGAGTGTCAAGTGCCAACGACGCCACAAGTGCCAATCAATGACACAACAAATACAACATCTGCAAAACACGCTGGCCCTGCTGGCCCTGTCCGGTGATCAGTCCAATGGCGATGTCTCACTGGCTGTGGAATCAGCCCTCTGAACCACCGGTTCACCCCGAAGGTGATTCAAGAGGGTGCCTCAGTCATGAAAAAGTGTCGGAGCGCCAAAGACTCATCACTTCACTTGAGCCGGCCACAGCCCACCTTTGCCTAGCAAGCTCTCTTATACAGAAGTGTCTTGCAAATAACCTGACATGCAGACTGAAACATGCAGTCCGCCGACGCCAACTGTGCCAACAACGCCACAAGAGCCAAGAATGTCACGAGTCTCAAGTGCCAACGACGGTGTAAGTGCCAATGAATGACACAACAAATGCAACATCTGCAAAACAAGCTGGCCCTGCTGGCCCTGTCCGGTGATCAGTCCAATGGCGATGTCTCACTGGCTGTGGAATCAGCCCTCTGAACCACCGGTTCACCCCGAAGGTGATTCAAGAGGGTGCCTCAGTCATGGAAAAGTGTCGGAGCGCCAAAGACTCATCACTTCACTCGAGCCGGCTACAGCCCACCCTGGCCCTAGCAAGCTCTCTTATACAAACGTGTGTTGAAATATCCTCACATGCGAACCAAAACATGGAAGTTGCCGACGCCAGCTGTGCCAACGACGCCACAAGTGCCAATGAATGACACATCAAATGCAGGGTGATCAGTCCAATGGCGATGTCTCACTGGCTGTGGAATCAGCCCTCTGAACCACCGGTTCACCCCGAAGGTGATTCAAGAGGGTGCCTCAGTCATGGAAAAGTGTCGGAGCGCCAAAGACTCATCACTTCACTTGAGCCGGCCACAGCCCACCTTTGCCTAGCAAGCTCTCTTATACAGAAGTGTTGCAGATATCCTCACATGCAGACCGAAACATGTAGTTTGCCGAAAGTGCCAAGAATGGCATGAGTCTCAAGTACCACGCCACAAGTGCCAGCCACGCCACAAGTGCCAATGAAGGACACAACAAATACAACATCAGCAAAACAAGCTGGCCCTGCTGGCCCTGTCCGGTGATCAGTCCAATGGCGATGTCTCACTGGCTGTGGAATCAGCCCTCTGAACCACCGGTTCACCCCGAAGGTGATTCAAGAGGGTGCCTCAGTCATGAAAATGTGTCGGAGCGCCAAAGACTCATCACTTCACTCGAGCCGGCTACAGCCCACCTTTCCCCTAACAAGCTCTCTTATATAAACATGGGTTGCAAACAACCTCACATGCAGACTAAAACATGTAGTTTGCCAACGCCAACTGTGCCAACAACGCCACAAGTGCCAAGAAAGTCATGAGTCTCAAGTGCCAACGACGCCACAAGTGCCAATGAATGACACAACAAATACAACATCAGCAAAACAAGCTGGCCCTGCTGGCCCTGTCCGGTGATCAGTCCAATGGCGATGTCTCACTGGCTGTGAAATCAGCCCTCTGAACCACCGGTTCACCCCGAAGGTGATTCAAGAGGGTGCCTCAGTCATGGAAAAGTGTCGGAGCGCCAAAGACTCATCACTTCACTCGAGCCGGCTACAGCCCACCTTTGCCCTAACAAGCTCTCTTATGCAGAAGTATGTCGCAAATAACCTCACATTCAGACCAAAACATGTGGCTTGCAAACGCCAACTGTGCTGACAACGCCACAAGTGCCAAGGTTGTCATGAGTCTCAAGCGCCAACGACGCCGCAAGTGCCAATAAATGATATAACAAATGCTACACATATATATGCACAACAAAACAAAGTCAGCTGCGCCTGTCTAGTGATCAGTCCAATGGCGATGTCTCACTGGCTGTGGAATCAGCCCTCTGAACCACCGGTTCACCCCGAAGGTGATTCAAGAGGGTGCCTCAGTCATGGAAAAGTGTCGGAGCGCCAAAGACTCATCACTTCACTCGAGCCGGCCACAGCCCACCTTTGCCTAGCAAGCTCTCTTATACAGAAGTGTCTTGCAAATAACCTGACATG